AACGGTTTTTACAACGTCAGTATACTTTGGCCGAAAAATGTTTTTCCGAAAACGTGATGTATATCCCTCCAATGTCTGATTCATCACTGTATTGCTTTCAGCAGCGTTGGACTTTTGAGAAATTGTTGTTTTAAAATCAACTCCAACGCTTCATCTAATTTAATATGCAATTTTTGAAAATTTATTTTTTATTCCCTTCGGCAGTTTTTCGATGTTTATCGAATGATATTGCATTAAAAGGCCTTTTTCTTCATCACTGTGTGGTTTTCTCGCTATTTTGCGTTGCGATAGTGATTTCTGAACCGTTTTTTGCGAGGGCTTATTTTAGGCCTGATTTTGCTGCTATCAGACGGAAAAAGTTTGCGGCTCGATATTTTTGGTTTAAAGCGAAACTGAAACAAAAGAAATTCATTTTTGAATAGTATTCGGTAACCTCTACTTGGGAGATAAAAATCGGCTGATTTTATTTTTTAGCCGGAAATCATCGGTCGTTTCTTAGGCGCAGGGCCTCTTAAATGTAAGGCGATTTGTCAGTTGTCAGTTGTCAGATGACCCCATCCACACCCTTGTAGCCCCCCATCTTCAGAGTAAAAGTAAGTTGTATCACGTCAGTTCATGGTATTAAACTCTGGTTATTGACCTGATTGGTCAATTAAGTCACGATGTTATTGGTTGTCGACGTCTCAGACGACCAATAACATCGCCACTTAATTGTTAATCACTGTCAACAACAACAGTCCTATTCAGGTACTACGTTCATCCGGAAGATCATACTCAACCAACTTATGAAATGACTCCTGGGTTCAAACTTTGTCTTGGATTAAGGCTTATCGGCCTTTCAAGCGCAGGTCTCTATGGCAAGTAGAAGGGTTTTTAAGTCTGGTTGTTAGCAGCAAAGTAAAGTAGAGCTTGAAAACTTTATGTGCATCTTGCTGTACATGGCTAACGCGCAGGCTGACGAATTAACAGAGGATAAAATTTTGTTCTTTTTGTCTCGGCCTTTTTGTTAGTATATCTCAGTTATGTAACCATCGTCACTTTAATTTCCGTCTGAATGGGAATGTCGACGGTGGAATTTCTTTGGACATTGTGCGTTCCCAACAAATGTCGGTAAAAATTTTCACTTGAATTTTGACTTTTCACCAAAATGCTTGAGGAAATTTGCATCGCCAATTTACGTTTTGCGACAGTATGTCGATACAATTTCCACTTCCGTTTGGCCATGACGTATAGCAAAGCCGGAGGGCAGTAAAATTTTCTGCTATACTTCCTCTGTCACGCCGACGACGAACTTCCACCTGACCGATTTTAGGGTGTTTCAATTGACTAATTTTTAATTTATCAAAACTGATCTTTCGGTTCGCGGAAACTCTGCGAGCTACAAATATTTCGAGATTCAAGACCGTGCCGTTTCAACTGAACTATCACGAGGAGCCGCAAGAGGTGATATTTTTGCACGGCATCTGGCGGCACATAAAAGAATTTGGAATTGAAGGGCAAATTCCTAGAATATCTTCGGCAGTTAAGCTAGAGAAAAGGTGTTAAAAAACCTCAGGATCCTTAACAACACGTCAATCAAAATATCACTTGGACCTTTTCGCTAATGAGAAGCTATATCACGCGGCTAAGCTTGAATTAGACATACATTGAAATAGGAACTCGTGTCAATAAAGTATCTTAAGTGAGTGGGAATCACTCCTAGTTAAAAGACTGGTTCACAGGGATATGCATCTCTTCTAGTTAAGAGAAGGGAATCAGAACTGCTTTTCATGCAGGAACAGGTTTTGTTCGGGCTAACTACAAAACTTCAGCTTATTTCACTCCTTGACATTGTCAAAGCGCATTTTGTAAAGATAACTTTTTCCGCTTTATCAGCTTTTTTTATATTCTATTCCATTAATGTTTAACCTCCCTCAAAAGCCAAATAATATAAATGCTGTTGTTAAAAAAAGCGCTTTACCTGTTTTCGTGAATTCGCTACCCAAAGATCACTATGCTCAAAGGACAGGGCAAAATTTCCAGGAGAGAGGCATTAATTTTTTTTCCCACGAGGTTACAAAGAGAAAATGCAATGATTATTATTAATGTAACCATCAGGTATACTCTACCCACGAGGTTACGGACAGCAAATGCAGTGATTATTTTTAATGTAACCATCAGGTATGTTCTACCCACGAGGTTACAAAGAGAAAATTCAATGATTATTATTAACGTAACCTTCAGGTATGTTCTACCCACGAGGTTACAGAGAGCAAATGCAGTGATTATTATTAAATGTAACCGTCAGGTATATTCTACCCACGAGGTTACAAAGGGAAAATGCAATGATTATTATTAACGTAACCTTCAGGTATATATGTTCTACCCACGAGGTTACAGAGAGCAAATGCAGTGATTATTATTAATGTAACCGTCAGGTATATTCTACCCACGAGGTTACAAAGAGAAAATGCAATGATTATTATTAACGTAACCTTCAGGTATGTTCTACCCACGAGGTTACAGAGAGCAAATGCAGTGATTATTATTAAATGTAACCGTCAGGTATATTCTACCCACGAGGTTACGGAGAGCAAATGCAGTGATATTATTAATGTAACCATCAGGTATGTTCTACCCACGAGGTTACAGAGAAAGTGCAATGATTATTATTAACGTAACCTTCAGGTATGTTCTACCCACGAGGTTACAGAGAGCAAAAGCAGTGATTATTATTTTAAATGTAACCATCAGGTATGTTCTACCCACGAGGTTACAAAGAGAAAATGCAATGATTATTATTAACGTAACCTTCAGGTATGTTCTACCCACGAGGTTACAGAGAGCAAATGCAGTGATTATTATTAATGTAACCATCCGGTATGTTCTACCCACGAGGTTACAGAGAGCATGCAAATGCAGTAACAATTATTAGATTTTAGTGCAACTATCAGGCTGAGTTTCTCCATTAAAAGAGTTTTTTGCTTGGGTAAAACAAGTTTGGCTTTCATGAGTTTCAAGGTGCAAGAAATTATCAGTATAATTATAGCACACAAACATTGTCATCTAATTCTTCGCGCGTAGCCGGAATAAGCCAAGAAATGAAGCATATATAACGAAAAATCGTCCTCAGATGATCTCCATATTAAGTAAACGTTGCGAAAGAAATTATTGTTTGTATCCGTCCTATCCATCGTAAAAGCGAGGGGTCATCGCATGACATCCGGTATATTAAACAGAGGTAATACTCACGGGTTTCACGAGTTGTATGCACTATTTTTCGCCGAGAAACAAATTTAAACTTCAATTCTTACCTTACAGTAGTCCGTTCTTTTACCTTGCATTCGACAACAAATCCGTTAAAGGCGAACAAAGCGATTCCGGCACTCTTCTTTATGATGAGTAGCAAGCCGCAGGAACTGAAGCCGCTTGACTGAAGTAAAATCCACCGATATGCGCGGCGTTCTCACTACAAATATAAACAAACGTCGCGGAGAAAAAAAGACGAGGAGGAAAAAATACCAGATCTTCGCCTCGGCAATGTATTCCAGCTACCATGCCGGCGTATCTCCAGAAGGAGGACTCGACGTGGGACAAATCCTGTGATCTCTTTTTAGAAGCCCTTTGCGCGCAAACTAATTTATTCTGGCGCGAAATGAAGAATATGTATACTGAAATCTAATCCACGACAAGAAGATTTTCGCACTGTAGCGCGACATATTAAATGCCTATTTTTACAAGTACGCGGAGAAAGTGGTCCACTAGTTTAACTTTTTTAAGATTATTTTTTACTCCACAAAAGCAAAATGAAATGTTTTATCTCTATGTTGTTTACGTGCCTGATTAGAAGGCAGAAGTAAATTCATCATACAGACCCCATCAAAATGAAAGTACACGAATGAAACGGAATAAGTCTGGGACGGTTTAGTTTCTACTCAGCAGCTTCTTTGCTTTTATAACAAAAATTTAATGTTGCAGTCTGTTTTAAACGTTGGCATATCAATGCGCACAGTCACTGAATGAAAACAACAGTCACGATCACGTTCTTCGAAACCGACCAGACGCGCGCGACCTACCACTGTTATGGTAAGCAATTATCCTGAAGGTGTTAATGTTCCCGTGACAGTCTTCGCACTGAAGGTGTAAATGGTAAACCGAACGGTCGCTTTGATCATCAGAAAGACCTGTCAACTTTGATGATTTAACTGATTAAATTATGGGACAGAAATTTTACTACTTGCGGCTCCTCGTGACTACAAGACGAAGGAGAAATAACCAAATCCTGCATGGCCTGGTTGTTCAAAGCTGGGTTTAGATAACCCAGGGTTAGGGCCAAATTTGAATTCAGATATGCAAGCAAGAATAGAGAAAACTATTCGAGAAAATGCTTTCGAGCAAAAGAAAAAGTAACCGTGCTCGAATCAAAATTTAACCCCCGGTTAGTGCTGAGTCGGCTTTAGAAGAGCTGATTGGTAGGGCGTCAATGCACGTCATCAACTACTTGTACTAGCACTGAAGCACACGTACCAACTCCGCTGTATGACTATTACCTTTTGCATGCGCACAACCATGTCACCCCGGAAGAGGCTCATCACCCCGGAAGAGGCTCATCAGTATAGTGTAGCAGATGCAGGCGAACCCGTATGTCAATTGCAAAGACCGTTTATGGCTGCCACTGCCCGGGTGATATGGTTGTGTGCATGCGTAAGTTAAAGGTTATTCCGCGGAGTTTGCGGAGTCAAACCGCGGAGTTGATACGTGTGCTTCAGTGTAAAATTGGTATTGTTATCAACTGCTTCCCCGAATATAAAATAAAAACTTACCGCAAACTATTAATCTGCACTGGTTAAAAAAGAAACACTCCGAGTTTTTTTTATCTGCATCCTATTTGTCGTATTTATTTCGTTAGTTAATTCTCTTCTAGAAAAACCTGTAAATTAAAGTATGAATTGCATCTTTTTTTTCCTCGTGTTCACCCACATTTCATTCTCTTTTGTTTGTCCTTTGAAGGGCGAGGGAATATGGCATCTACGAACAACACAACATTAACGTCAGGGGCAACAACAAAGATCAACAGCGACGAGGGATACGCATGGTGTTCACTGTTTGTAGCTGAAGCACTCTTCATCATCACATTAAATACCTTGACCATGGTTGTCTTTTTAACCAAGCCAACTTTGCGCAGGCGCAGTACATATCTCCTTATAAACCTAGCAGCGACTGATATAGGCATTGGGGCGTTCGTGATGCCCATCTCCATATATCGTCGCGGTAACGCATACAAACTTTGGAAGGTAGACATGACTTATGAATGGTTTATTTCCAGCTATGGGATTGACTTGTTCTTCTTTGGCTGTTCGCTTCTGTTTCTGGTCTCGATATCAATTGAGAGACTGCATGCAACAACAAATCCATTTCGACATCGGTTGATATCAGCGTCAACATACAAGAAATGGATAGCTGGAGTTTGGGTTGCCTCAGCTATTTACACGTCTTTCACGGTTGCAGTTTTGCATTTTAATTTATTAGGCTTGTATATATGGTACATAGTGGCTGGCTGTGTCCTTGTGTCAATCTTAATTCTCTGCGTCAGTTATGTCGCTATATTTTTCGCGGTGCGCTGCCGTAAACAGCCAGAAACAACCAGCCGCCACGCTAGGAAAGAAAGGAATCTCACCGTGACACTAGCCATCGTCACGCTAGTCTCTATGACAGTTTGGCTACCCTACGTGCTCTTCACATTTCTGGAGATGAAGTTGACAAAGACGTTTTCCGAGGAAGCACTTTTACGTGTGCGCAGCGTTTGCGAGGTTCTGTTCTTTGCCAACTCGTTTGTAAATCCAATCCTGTATACGATCAGGATGACAGACTTTAAGAAAGCGTTTACCACTCTCATCGGATTCAACCATATTCAAAGTGGAATATACAACAGCACGGACGAGGAACATTCTCAAGGGATGAGATGTTCCCAATTTTAATTTAAGTTAAGCTGCTTTTAAGACCCTACAAAAAAGAGGCAAACGTCAGATTCAGGTTGGCAATTCCTAAAATTAGGAAATAAAACCTGCGCCTAATATAATTCTTATCGATAAGACTGACATGAAGCCAATTATTACCGTGTAGATAGTACGAAGAGTGAGAGAAAATAATGTAAGACTGGGTCACTGACGAGCTACAAATTTCCTTTAAAATATTAGTATGAAGTAAAGATGGTTTGACACTGACAAGACAGGCACGCATTAAATAAAAACAATAAAAACTAACTTGAAAAATTTAGCTGATGCCCAAACCGCGATGTAACACCCCTCTAAGTCATAACCTAAGTATTGTCTAATAACAATAGGACATTGCTAAGAAACAATTACTTGGGATATATCTTACTTAAGAGGTCTGTAAAGCCGACCCCCAAAACTCCATAAGTGATCGTCATTTTGTTATAACGTATAGCTAAAGACGAAGTTTCATGTATAATTCTGGATGGTCACTCAAGTTAATCGCTGTCACTTTCATCCTCTATGTTTTGAACGAAAAGTAGAGCATCAGCCTCGATACCAGCATCCTTCAGAGTTTGATCTTCGCTTGAGGAGTCGCGTGCGTAAACGTTACGTGGGAAATTGGACACAAGGACGAACTCTGAGGGTGACTCATCATGGCAAAACAAGAAGTCGTATAAAGCCTGTGAAAAAGAAAAAAAACAGTGAGTTACCAAACAAAGAATCGATAAAATTATTCAACCATTATTCAAACAAAAATACCAAATAATTTTATACTCACACATCTGATTGGTCAAAAGTATGTTGCGATGGTATTCATGAATTCTGGTTACTTATTGCTATTAGTTACTGCTTTACTTGTATGAGTGCCTACTTGATACACTAATGTAGTTACTAAAACCAGTCAAAAAGCTTTTGAAAATCTCTCTGATAGCAAAAAACAAACAAAAAAAAAAAAACTAAACTGCAAATGCAATTGAGTACTCTTTCATTGTAGCTGTTTGGCCACTGTATTAATAAAACAAAACCATTTGAGCATAAAATATTTTTAACACTAAAGATATTTTAGATATCATTGACATATAACAGGCTTACCCGGCATCCTTCTAACTAGAACAAAGTCCATCTTACTGAGACGTAGCGGTTGCTGAACTACACTTTCACTGGATACAGTCGCCTAAGTATTTGGTCTGGTATAGCCAGTCTTCCACCTGTGGAGAACAATATGAATATTTCAAGATGAAATAATATTATTAACAGTTTACAACCAAAATTAATGATGCATGCCACAAGAAAGAAAGCAAAATAAAAAATTCAAGAAAATAAGCTGATTCTTGATGGACACATACCACTTCTGAATTGTATATGCTGCAACATCTCGCTACAAAATGCTAGTTCCCATGCAACTGCAGTTTAATATTAAACTAAATAATGATGATGAATTGATACACAAGACCCACGGTGCTGATAATGGCCGTAATGTTGTTAATAGGTTTCTTCTATGGATTCCAAATTAACTCCAAAAGACAGCATGTATGATAAATTCGTCAGCTCATTTCTAAAAGAAACACAATGGACATATATGAGAAAATTGTACGAGGTTTCGGCTCCTACTACAGCAAGTGGATTTTTCCAGATATCTGTTAGTATCGATAATGTCAAACATATTCTCATTTACTTTAAAAATCTTACAGAGATAACAATGGCGATAGGCATGCTGAAAGTATTCCATATCTAATGAATACTTTTTCACTACCAGAGGGGCATCTTTGAGCAATTGCAGGTTAGAATATGGTAATGGCGTCTTTTATCCAGAAACTGAGTATGTTAGTGAGAGTAAAGTCAGGATTTTTAATGATCTGATGGCATGTGCTATGAGAAAGAATGATTTCAATACTGGAACGCAATTGAATCTAGAAAATTACAACAGTCTGTTTCCATTGATTTATTTTGATCTGAATTATCAAACAGAAAAGGTACCAAGAGATCCCAAACAGCCGATTTTCAGGTACAGATTATCAGCCAATGCAAATCAAAATTTCGCTGTACATGCTGTTGTTCTTTATGAAGAGATCCTGAAGATTGATAATGAGTTGGTTATTGTATAATTTCTAAGGTCCCGCCAAAATGACGCCCCCCTGGGAGGTAAATATGTTTTTTAATTGAAGATTATCTAACATATAATATATAGAAGATATGACACAACTTTATGAGATAAAAGTAAAACTATCAGAAAACCAAAAAAGGAGTCATTCTCGAGCTTTTCATCAGAGAGAGACAATTCTTCTTAGATTAACAAGCAATGCGCTTTCCGGAGGTGATACACTATTTGTTCCATCAAATATTGTGAAGGGATTAAATATAAATAAGACCCGTCGATTAAACAAAGGCATGGATATCAAATTAGCTAAGACTAATATCAGAAAGCAAGTGGGAGGTAGCTATAGCCTATTAACCAGTATTTTATCAATGGGCAGAGCCTTGGCACCAACAATTGGTAAAACACTTGGTTTGTCAGCGTTAGCAGGTCTTGCCAGTGAAGGCGCTAGTCAATTGGTAAAAACGATATCTGGAGGCAACTTACTGAGGGATGTTGTAGGCGCTGAAAGAACTTTAGCATCAACATTAAAAAAAGATCACTGCAGGGCAAGTAGGAGACTTTTTAATCCCACAGAATAAAATTAATCAGTTGATTGCGTATAAACACCTTCTGTTCCCAAAACAGAAGCAAGATATTCTTAATGCTCTTCAAACAGGTTCAGGTGTTCGTATAAAGCAAATCACATTACAGCTGGGTAACGGTCTTGGGACTATTCTAGCATCAATGGGTATTCCATTAGCTATTGAACTGGTTAAAAAAATAACTGGTAGGGGGGCACCAAGATTGGGGACAAGTACTGGAAAACAAGATGGTCATGGAACCCCTCGATTGGGCTTGTATCAACCATTGCTCCTTTTATAGGAACATGGGAACAAATGCGTGGCGGTGGTAAGAAAAAGAACTCGGTCGTCCAAAAAGGTGCAAGGTCTGCTATTAGGAATCAATTCACCGTTCAAAAACGTACCTCTCTTAGGAGCCATACTGTAAAACCCAAATTCTACAAAAATGTCCCAATGAGTAATCATGATCTGTTTTAATGGTGCAGATATTTGAATATACCTATAAACAGGGGGAGGGGGGGCAAGGTAACTCTATTGTTTTCCACCTAAGTTTCTTGACCCGCTCCGCCTGCCAGTATGACGACACGTAGTAACGGACAAGAGCCTCGGGTCGCTTGTGCAAATTAGCAAGGGATACGATAGTTATTTGGATGAGCGAGGGTCGAGGAAAAGCTAAGAAGCTAGCAAATATCGCTATATATCGCTTATTTGATCGAATGTGTTTGAGCTTTGGTTTTGCTACAATCTGCTTGTGTAAACCGTTGTGATATTTTGTGTCCGTGATTGTACAATTTTGTTAATTTGTTTTGCGGGCCGTGTTGCGGGATCACCATCTATTTCACGGGACCGACAAGGTCATCAAAACTTAAATCTTGTTTTTTTCTCTAAAATAGGCAAGGTCTAGTCTCCAGAATAGGAGGTTCCATTCACAGATCACACATGTTTATAAAATTTCATCTATTCTTTTGCAATTAAACGGGCCTAACTTCATATCATTCCTTTCGAGCATGGGCCTAAGTAGATCTCCTACTCCTCCACCAAATTCAATAAAGCTAGTTCGATCGATTATCTAAATCGAGCTACATCGAGCGAGCCGGTTGAACCCGAAACAGCTCTGAAATACGCGCTTAAGCTAATTTTCCTCAAATGTATATATGAATTCATGATAAATACAGCTCCACCAGCTTCAAACAGCGTCTATGGCAGCGAGAAATTGTTTTGATCATTTCTCAAATCACGTGTGTCACTTTGGTGCAGTTGCTGATAGGAGACAATTCTGTCGTTGTATCGTAGGGGTTGGCGGTGTTCCGCGTGGGCCGTATTGTATGTGTAAAACGAAGATAGCTGCATGTGCTTTGAGAATAAAGTGTTGTGTTCTCGAAAGCTGTTATTCCTTTGATGGAAGCTTTCCCAGCCGGTCAACATGGTGTCAGAAGTAGACGAACACACGCCTAAAGTCAGGAGGTTTCGTCCATAGTACGGTCAGTTTATGTTTGAGAATGAACTGTGGGAGTTGTACGAATTGTTCCCGCCATTTTCGGATGTTATCAAGCTGGCGCCCGTATAAATTGTTTGTGTTTGCTGTTATCATGGCCAACGCTTCAGTGGGTTTCCTGTCCCTCAAATGCAAGAGGGGCTAGATGAGCGAGAAGCTCTAGACTGTTTCATATTGGATTATATTGATTATTGCACGGTGATGGGATGGTTCGAGCGGAAAGACGGATGTAAATATGACGATCAAAGCGAGGGTGGGAAAAAACAATAGAAGAAACAAAACCTCTGCATGTCAACACTTCGAGCAACTCCGCCTTCGAAGATGAAGAGATTCATTAATCCAAACAACAAAACGCTGGAACTATCCGAAGAAGATAAGAGAGTCCCGGTGAAAGTTATTAAAGCCCTCATTAAGCGCTTTGGAGGCAGTGTCAATGTTCAAGCTGAGCGAACGAAAATGGGACGCATGTTTCAGTCCGAAGGAGAATCCATTAGTGCGTGGGAATGTCGAGTGGTGGAGCGAGCGAGATATTGTGAATATGGGAATTTTAAAGATCAAGCATGCCGCGACCGTTTTATTGCTGGCTTGGTGGACGAAACTTTACAAGGAAAGTTGAATACTAATGGTCATCGTGACAAGGATGGTAACATTGTGGATTTCCGTACTGTGGTTGAAATAACAAAGAATTATGAATCCTCCAGTGACACTCGAAGGCTTGTGCGGCAAGTTCGTGGAGATCAAGAGCAGGTGAATTGGACCGAAAAAGCATCCCAGTCAAAGCAAAACAGCACTCGCTCTCAAAGCCGAAGCAATGGCAAAGAGCCGTCTAGAAAACAGTCTGAGTGTAACTACTGTGGGGCGACACCGAGTCACCCAAAGGAAAAGTGTCGTGCATTTCTCCTTAAGTATAAGTGAAGAAAATGTGGCAAAGAAAGGTATATAGCTCGGAAATGATTGAGCAAACGCGAATGCATTGGATGATTCAGTTTCTGATGATGGGCAAGAAACAAATCATTTGTTTACTCTGGACACCCACTCTGTGAGATCGGTATCTGTACAGAAGGGGAAAAAGTTTTTCCTGGGGATCAAATTATCCGCAGCAAACAAATTTTTGACTTGGAAAACTTTGCAATTAGATACTGCGTAAACAACCAACACCCTTGCAGTGGAGGACCTCCGGAGCATGTGTCCATCGGGGGTTGATATCCATGGCCTAATCAAACCCTCCTATGCCATCCTGCGTATCTATGGAGGAGGTGTAAAAAAGCCAGTGGGGCAAATAGAATTGGTCTGTGAAACTCAAGGAAAGTTTCACACTCTTCAGTTTCAGCTGTTAAATAAGGACGTCATGGGATCACAGTCACCTCTTCTAAGTGGATCTGATTGTGTTAGATTAGGCCTGGTTGAGATAGGAGGAAACACCTGCTCCTTGGATCGCAACAACCCAAAAGGGGGTACCTCAGAAGTGTGCCAGCTTAACTCGGGACCTCTGCGAGGAAGAGTGGTGGAAAGTGGAACTCCTGATCAGGAGGTCAGGCCCGCATGACTGAATGGTAGTGCAACAGAAGAGATTAATCTGAATGAGGAAACCACCAGCACCTCTTCAGTACATGGTACGTGGGAGGATATTAGTGGAGTTCATCGTGCTGTAACCAATGAAGAAAAAGTTCGTCCAAAGGGGAGCATGGCTAGTGAGGTGGGTGTGTCTCAAGTGTCTGTCCCCTGGGGAAAACTGACTAAAGCCATTATCATGGATGCCTTTAAGGATGTCCATACAGGGCTAGGAACTTTGGGCCGCCCCTGCACATCAGCATGAACCCTAATGTGACTAAATCCAAGCTCATCCACATCAGTGCCCTGTAGCAAAGGAAGCAAAAGCATCTGACGCAATACGTGACCTAGAAAAACAGGGTATCCTGAAAAAGGTTACTGAGCCGACTGCATGGATCTCCAACAGCGTCTATAGAGAGAAACCCGACGGAAGCATTCGTGTGTGTATTGATCCTAGCCAAACGATCAATAAAAGCCATTGAAGCCCCAAAGTACCCCATTCCTACATTTGATGAGCTACTGCCTAAGTTGAACAATGCCAAAATTTTTTCCTGTGTGGATGTGTACAAGGGGTTCACAAACATTGAGTTAGATGACAGTTCCTCATTCTTAATGACCATGCATACTCCAACTGGTCGTTACCATTGGTTACGTATGCCGTTCGGGGTCAGTTTAAGACCGAAGGAATACCAGCGTAGACAACATGAAGCACTGGACGGATTGACTGGTGTTGTGAACAAGGCTGATGACATTTTGGTCTTTGGGAGTGGAGATAGTATGGAGGAGGCTGAGAAGGATCACGATATCAACTTGTGGAACATAATGTTGCGGTGCCGTGAACTGAATTTCAAGTTAAACCCCAGGAAATTTCAGTTCAAAGTGAAGCATGTTACCTGGATGGGCCTTCTCCTTAGCAGTAATGGCACCACCCCACATCCAGATAAAGTCCAGGCTATTAAGGACATGACCCCACCACTAGATGTGAAGGGGGCTCAGCGGCTCCTGGGCATGTGCAATTATTTGTGACGTTTCACCCCAAACCTTGCAGAAATTGTGAAGCCACTCACTGAACTGACCCATGTGAATGCAGTGTGGTTATGGTCCTCCCAACATGACAAAGCTTTTAAGGCAGCCAAAAGCTTAATTGCAAATGCCACGACGTTGAAGTTATTTGATGTGAACAAGCCATGTGTATTACAAGTGGACGCCAGCGACACAGGTCTTGGAGGTGCCCTGCTGCAAGATGGGCAACCTGCGGCTTTTACAAGTTCAACGCTGTCAGCAACTAAAGTCAACTATGCGCCTATTGAAAAGGAATGTCTGGCCATCAAAGTAGCCTGTACAAAGTTCTACCAGTATCTTTATGGTAAACAAGATGTTATAGTACATTCTGATCACCAGCCGTTAGAACGATTTTCAAAAAACCCCTGAGAAGAGCCCCAAGACGCCTTCCACGGATGATGCTTCAGCTACAGCCGTTCAAGTTCACAGTAGTTTACAAGAAAGGCAAGTACATGTACTTGGCCGATACACTGTCGAGAGCCGCGTTGAACCTCCCTACACCCTCAGACCCACACGAAGAGGTGTTCCAGTGCAACTCAGAGGATGCACTAGAGATTTTCCGGGTAGAACTAGAGAGCATGGAACTAGACTCCCCTGACATGATCCTAGCCCCATGGAGGAAATTAAAGCTGAAACCGAGGGGGATCCTACCCTGTCAGTCCTATGTATGTTCGTGGCCCATGGTTGGCCCTCCGACAAATCACAGGTGCCCACAGCACTCCGTCATTACTATCCGTTAAGGGATGAGCTAGTGGTATACAATTGTGTATTGTACAAGTCACACAACGTCCTCATTCCTGTAAAGCTACAGTTTACTATGCTGAAAAAACTCCACCACGGTCACCAGGGCGGCGAAAGCATGATTTGCCGGGCTCGAGAAGTAATGTATTGGCCCGGAATGCAAGCTGCAATCCTTCAAGAGAGTGCCAAATGTTCACTGTGTCCTAGCTATGGTTAGGCCTTCCCAAAAGGAACCGATGTTGTCTCATGAAATTCCACAAGGTCCATGAAAATTTATCTCGCAGAACCTATTCAAGCAGGGTGGGCGTTGGTATTCTGTTACAGTAGACCACTACAATGACTGGTTTGAGGTCGATCTGTTGAATGAAGACATCACTGCTGCCAATGTTATCTCAGTCACAAAGGCGCTCTTT